AAAACAATACAACAGAAGCTAGGTGTTTCCCTTTCTCCATGTCACATGTGGACCTGCCAGAACTCCAAAAGGAAGTGGGAAGCTGCCCTTCCTGCTGAGTGGTCCCAACTTCCAGAACATTCCAGCTCCCTTCAAACATAAGGCCATGGCCAAATGGGGGCCGAGATGTAAAAAACAGATTAGCACAGCCTCCACCAACAATTCCAATTATCTACAATAATGCGTGCACGAATAGTGTAGGGCTTTGAAAAACTGCTGAGTTATGCCATCAAACTATTCCCTCCCACTGACAACCAGCCTTCGACTGTCAGAAAATCCCTTCTCTTAGTCCCCAAACAAAACATTCAGTTGTTGTTGTTGGGTTTTTTTTCTCCCTAAGAGCACGAGGTCCCAACCTGGAAATACTCCAAGGCCTATCCTAGGTTCAAAAGGAAGTCTCAGTGCTGGATCTGCAGAGGTTTGGGCCCACGCCTGGTGTCCAGCTGATGTTGGCATTAACCATCTGCAGATGTACAAATGCAGCACAAGAAAGCCCATTGCAAACCCTATCTCAGCAGTCAGGCTCAAGGCTGAATTGGAAAGACGGGAAGAACAAAAACTATTCCATTTAAAACAAACCAGTTAAATCAGCAGGCGCTAAATTTTTGTTGCAAATGGTGTTCACGGACTCATAGAATCAAAGCATTGAAAAGGACCTTAGGCTACCATCCAAAACAACCTTGTCATCTGATTTTATCCTTAGGAACAAAATTAACACTCTGCATGCCTTTTTGGGCTAAATAATATCTTACAGTCAAACCAACTGGGAAAATGACATGGTTAAGAAATTCCATCTGCATAATCTGAACTGGTTCATTTTCAACAGGCTTAACCCAGGAGTGCTTGGCCCCAACCCTCTTCTCTGCCAGGGGCCCAGAATCCTGAACTTTCTTGAAACTCCACACAATGAAGATATTATGGATACCAAGTGTGGTAGCCAGCTAGTTACCATGCCACATCAGCGGAGGCAAACAAGTAACACAAACAGCCGCCACCCACTGGTTGGCCCTGGGCTGACTTGGGCTTGGCCCTTCCCCAGCCACCAGACAAAGTGCCGGAGAGGGTTGCTTCCTGGTTGTATGCAATCTGCATAGATAGACTAGCTTTACAAGCCTGACCACAAGAGATTAATAAGCTTTAGCCAAATAATGTGGTAACCATGTGAACTGGGCTGCTCCAGCTTGTTTGCGAATCTCTCGGCAATGCCGTTATCTGCATCTTGTTGCTAGGAAACTCAACATCGCTTGGGAATACAAGGAAAACCAGGTTGCACTGACCACAGGTCGATCCCGTGGAAGATTCATTTTGGATGCCAAGTTCCCTGAAGTCCTGAACCTAAGGCTTCAGTTTGTGAACTTCAGGCAACTTCTATCCATTCGATTATCAATAATAATATTATTATCAATATTGTCATTGAGGGGAACGATTATTATTGACAATAACAACAATAAAAACAATATTCACACAATGCTTAGGAAAGACATTGTTTTCCCTGCCCTGGTCATGATCCATGAATGTGGCATCAGTGTAGGGAACTCCATAGCCTAGTGTGAAACCTCCCTCTCAACATCAGCACCTGCTTAATCACTTTTGAGCATGAGAAAGCACTAAATGACTTGTCCAAGTTCACACAGTTAGTGTAGGTCAGCAGCAGGACTCAAACCCAGGTCTTCTTGGTTATCAGAGCTGCATTATATCCACCGCGTCAGATAGGCATATCCTCACAGACACCCCCCCCCATATACACACATATGATGGTATACATATATACATATACATACGTAGACACACAAACACCAGTAGATTTCACATGTCTTTTGCATTGTGTATAATACATATTATCCTCACTAAAACTATTTTTAAAAGCCAGCACCCCTAAGCCAGCTTTGTAACTAACTCTGTAAGAGCTGCTCAAAGGTCAGCTTCTGTACTTTATCCCAGAACAGCCTTTAAGACAGAATAAAACACGGAATGCCCCAATGACCTCCGACTAGTTCCTGGATTTTTCTGGGCTCAAACTGCTTTTCTTCCTCTCTCACTTTACTCATGGTAACAGAACGTAATGTGTTTGACAACGACCTTGATGAGTTTCTTCCTGGCTAGTTTAAATAGATATAAAGTCAATGTACTAAGATGCCGAAACTATTCACCAGCCTGGAAACTTCACCAGGGTGATGGGGGAGGTCATTGCCCAATTTCCCAATCTGGAAATGGAAGGATTAAAGAGGCTGGGAGGGTGGAGATGGTTTTTTAAAATTAATCACCCTGGTCACACCAATTTAGAACTGCTAGCTCACGTGTACCCTAGAAGAATTTGGAAAAGCTAGCTGTTGGCTAGAGAAGGCCTAAAAAAATTGGGAGGAACAAAAGGAAGTCATTTTCTCCCACCTCATACTGCTTTCTTCCTCACAGGAAAAACGGCTGCTTTTTAAAATCATAGGATCCCCAGAAAAATCCTGATTATCCCAACAAAAGAGAACTGTGACACTGAGATACTTAGAAGATGTGTTTAGCTATAGCTCTGACACGGCCTGACTTCCATCTCAAGATGGCCTCAGGTAAAGCCTCACGCCTACATTTTCCCTACATTTTTCATTTAAAGACACAAAATGCAATCTCTTAATGTTCATGATCAGTGATGAGCTGAATGGTGACAAGCTAACTGCAGTGAGTGACCTTGTCATCCTTCAGCCAGCCTTGGTCCTACTACTCAACCTCATCACTAAGATTGGATTGTGGATAATACTCATTATCCTCACTAAAACTATTTTTAAAAGCCAGTACCCCTGAGCCAGCTTTGTAAGTAACTCCGTTAAGAGCTGCCCTTAGAATGCCCAACAGATTGGAGAGCGGGGCCATGAAGTCTAGGCCCTATACTTACGGAAGGATGCTCAGCTCACATATCTCCTCATTTCTCACCTGGACACACTGCTTTGGGAATTCTCCACCATGCCCCCAAGTTGTATACCTTACTCCCCATCCCCAACCCGGTTAGAATGTGGGCTCCCGGAGGGCAAACATTGTCTTTTTTCTTATTTTATATCCAGGGCTTAGCTTAGCACAGTGCCTGACATATAACAGGTGTTTAATAATGTTTGCCAGGCCTGTAGTCCAGAAGACTGTCTTCCTGAGTTCAAACCTGGCCCCAGACAGTGTGATCCTTGGCAATTCATTTGCCCCTGTTTGACTCAGTTTCCTCATCTGTAAAATGAGCCGGAGAAGGAAATGGCAAACCACTCCAGTATCTTTGCCCAGAAAACCTCAGATGGGTTAGAGTTAGACTTAGACATGACAAAAAATGACTGACCCACAATGTTTACTGACTGACTGACCCCTCCCCCCAAGATAAGATAAGCACCTCCCTTCTTTCAGTAAAAGAGTGAAATATTCAGTACAATATTGCATACGTTGCCAGATGGGATCACTGCATTGGCCAGCTGACATAATTCTAAGAAGGGATCTAGAGGTCCAAGACACAAAAAAATGAAGAACTCTGGGATTCTAAGATCACTCATTGGAACAAAGAGAGTTAATGCTGAAATGAAGAAAGCTGGACAACTCACTTCGAGCATGCTGGTGAGCTCTCAGACTCGAGGACAAGAGTCACCCAGCTGGGAGTGTGGAGCCCATTCAGTTCCCAGGCTGCCACCCCCTCCTCTTTTGACTTCAGCTCCCACCCCTCGTCCTACTAGGTTATAATATATGGAATTCCCAACCTTCTCTCATTGACGCTCTCCTCCTTCCCAACAAGTCTCAACTCTTGCTCATGAACACAATGCCATCATTAACAACTACTTCTTACACAGACCCAAAGAAAGAGAACTCTTGAGGCTACAACAGAATGGTTTTGGTCCAACAGCTCTGCACACACTTGCAAGTTCTTTTTATTTCATGGTCCTCTATAGTTTTTCTCTTTGTTTCAAAGTTCAGGGAATTAGTACATGGGCACAAATTCCCTCACATTATACCAAAAGAACTGGGCCATTTATCTAAAGCCTCCTTGTGTAAGGAACCAGAATTTTTCCTATAACAGACAAAGCAGCATACCTTTTGACCTCATTAAATATTAAATGACACTACAGTTAAAATAAGATCTTCTAGGCCGGAGACTTTTAACCAGTGGTCCATGTACTTAATTTAAAAAAATATTTTAATAACCATATTTCAATATACCTGGTTTCCTCTGTAAGTCTATTTTATCTAAGAAACATTTTGCTGAGAAGTGGTGCGAGCTTTACTCATCTGCCAAAGGGGTCCATGACACAAATAAGGCTGAGAACCCCTGTTCTTGGCTAAAGTGCATTAAACAATTATCACAGTGGTTCAAAAAAAAGGCTGTAAGGTCTCTAATAAAAGGAAAAATAAAAAGGAATTTGATTAAAAACTTTCTGGTGTCAACAAGGTACAAAGAGCTTTTTCTGATATAAGGAAAAACATCAAAAGAGGTTTGTGGGATTGTCTGAATTTTTAGTAACTAGTCACAGCTCAGTCACATGTTGATTTGGGTGTGAAAATAATTCCAATGTGCCGCACAAGTCATGTGGCAAGTGTTTACTGCTCAAGGAAATCCCAATGTATAGAAGCCAAATGTCTACATAAATGAGAGAGTAAAACAAAAAGTTTCACCATAGGAGTCTTTTAAACAGCAAATTCTGCACTGAAAAGATCCCCTGGCTCACAAAATTCAAATCCACAATTCAGTAAGAAATGTCTTGCAGAAAACGTGGTATATTTTGATTTTCCAAATGCTACAGCCCTGATGGCCTTGGTAAGTCATAAGCGTGAACTGCAAACATAGGGAGAAGTCAGAATTGTTTAAACAATTCTGTTCCTTTAAAAGGAAAGGTGGAAAATTCAGGAAGAACAGTCTGCTCTTTTTGAGCTGAATGGACAGACAAAAAGCTTCCTGCAAATGTTAACTAGCCAGTCGTGGGCTGGGGGACAAGCAGCCACTTACTCACCTGTACTTGAGTCTAACTCTGTCATTGTCTGGGTTGCAGAAGAGTCTTTCCAAGTGCTCCTGAGAATCGTTGGTCACACTCTGCCATGTTTGACTGGCCGTCCTCTTGACTTGCCAGTGGTAGGGCAAGACTGTGTGATGTTTTAAGCAGTCACTACCATAAACACAACTGCCCTGCAAGAAATCCATGCAAATCTCAATCCCATTCTCCTGATGCGTATGGTATTGTAACTGGTTCAACAGTTCAAATACCAGATCGAGGGAAGCTTCCTCACTCTTACCCTGGAAGAGTCCAGTATTCAACTTGTTGCTGGTGTTTAAGTTGTACTGGAGGGCATAATTGTCCTGCTGAAACAAACCAGGAATACAATCCATTGCCTTCTCTGCACAGTCAGGACTGATAGGGACATCGCTGGTGGCTGCATGCAAGAGGGGATCCTGGAAGGGTCCCAGAGCAGGATCGGGCACAGTTCCATTGGTAGTTTCTGATGGGAAGCCATGATCTTGGGATGGAACCACCTGCTCTGTATCCTCTGAGGAAGGATCAGCTTCTGGTACTGGTCTCCTGACATCCGCCCCTCCAGATAGAAGAATGCTCATATCACTGCCCACTGGTGGGCATGCTGAATTCATTCCCAATGGTTTTTTCACAGTTGGCTGGCACAGACTGCTACTACCATCTCCACTTGGGTTCATAGGCATGAAAACGTCATCAAGGGACCCTGATTCTAATAAGGTGTTTAAAATTGGCCTCAAGGTTCTTAAGGTTCCTGTGCTGAGTCTCTTCTGAACTTGCTTCTTCTTGAAACAAGTCTTCACTGGAGCAATCTTCTCAGATAGTCTCATCTGACAAGGAAACTCATCAGGAGGACAATGAGGCTGGACAATACAGGCTGTCCCTGACTCGGCTTCCATCTTTTATGAAGTACAGGGTCACCTTCTTTACTATTCAAAGATCAGACCAGAACCTAGGCAGGAAGAAAAGCATACCAATTAGAATCCTCTATCAATCACTGATCTTGGCTATCAGGTTACCTGGGCCATCAGCTGCCTTTGCTAACAGGTTCATCTGAAAACTGGTGACAGGATGAGTCCTCCCTCAGACACTTAACAGCTATGTGACCCCGGGCAAATCCTCACTTTTGTCATTGGTAAAATCAGGAGGCTGGACTCACCTCACTGGGCTGAGGGTATGGAGATCACATGAGATAACACAAGGAAAGCACTTTGCAAACCTTCAAGTACACTATAAAGACCAACTATTGTTATTATTATTATTATTATTATTATTGTGGTTCTCCACAGTGTGGGTGGCTATGAGTAGCTAATGCTGCATATGCTGTCAAGCTTAGATGTTGTAATGTGTGGTGCTGTAAACTGTCTTTTTCTCTTTCTTTTTCATTTATTCATTCATTCATGAGGAATTGATCTCTGGAGGAGTGGGGAGAATATATTAGGGGAAAATGGCGATGTAAAAAAGAATATCTTAATAAAAATGTGAAAAACTGGGTGATCACAAAAACACCTACTCATTCATTCATTCAACAAACAGTATTACCATGCCAATGTGAGCATTAAGCACTTACTACTACTAGGTCCTAAATTAGGTGCTACGTTAGATGCTCAATCAATCAGTCAGTCAACTAATCAGAGTCCTCTCACTTGCAAAAAGCACAGATTCTATTAGGGGGAAACAACAGGAACTCAGGCAAATGAAAAATACTGACAAGATAAATATAAATGAGGGAGGAGGATTAGGATAGCTCCCACCTCTCCCCCCACTCAGGAGATAGCATGGGTATTCTATAAGGCAGAGGCAGAGATGAGACAGAAGTTCATTCAGGCCTGAGGGATGACAGTTTATGAAAAGACACAAGAGAGTAGATGGAAGGGGGAGTATGGATAACAGCAAGTAGGATTCTCCAGGGAAAGAGAATTCACAAAATGCTTCTCTGGGGATGGATATACCAAATCCCAATTCTTCTGGTTTCACAAAATCAAATTTGAGTTTCACCTTGGCACCAAGGGCTCCAAAGACATGGAGCTCTTCCAAAGACTTGACGAGAGGCATGCATTATTGCCTTCCCTCCACACCCCACAACCCCCATATGTTACTCCTGATTTGAGAGTATGAGAAAAGGAGGCAGCTAGCAACAGTGACATTAATTACTATTCACAGCTATGTCAGAAAAAAAAAATGAAGAGTCCTTGCTTTCCAGAAAACCATTTGGAAGGAAGGAAATGGAACTAATTCTAGAGGCATTTACTAAGTGCCTACTATGTGTCACGCAGCGATACAAGCACATCAGCCTTGCTGAGGTCGTAGAAAGAGGGCTAGCTCTCTGAGAGGAATCTGACCCCTTAAGAAAACCTGTTAACTTCACAAGAACCATGAAGGGAACACCAGGAAAATAAAACATGTTCATTCCCCTGTCAATTCACCAATGATTGTACTTATCTAAAGCAACCCTCACTTCCAAAGCATTTAGAAAGCAGCCGGTAGGGCTGAGTCTCAAGACAAAACCGAAAGCAACCTTCGACTCTTTAAGTCACGTTGCCTACAGTAGTACCCCAAGCTTCATTAAGGTATAAAGAGAGTAAACATACTGAGTGTTGGGAGGCGCCTTGTCATCGAGTTGGGGAGACCAGTCACACGTGAAAATGTGTCCACCCCCTTCCCTCCCACAGAGGGATAAGTTATCAGAGCTAAAAAAAAAAAAAGGAAGAAGAAAAATAAAGGAGGATGGGCTACAAAGTATCAATATTAAAAGTGCACAATGGTTACAAAAGGCGGAAGAGACGGGGAGAGTCCGCGTGAGCTGGGGCCCCAGCAGAGGCTTCACGAAAAAGGTGAAACTTGACAGCCGTCATCAATCAAAAGGAAACTGGCCAACCGAGGCTTCATTCTTCATTACTTAGTGATCTTCCCTCAGGGAATTACTAGTACAGCCAGTTAATACCTCTCCCCATGCCCCACCACACCCAGCCCAACCGCAGAGGGAGCCCGAAACTCACCCTCTCCTCCCTAAGCACGAACTTTAGCACCAAACAAACCAAAGCAAAGGCAGACCTCTCTCTCCTTTCCCCCCCGCGTCTCCCTAAGCTCTCCAGAGCGAGGTTGGGCACGTTGGGCACTCAGCGCGCGCTCGCTCGCTCACCCAAGGCTTTCTGCAAACTACAGCGGCAGAGGAGAGCGATACAAGAGCTGAGATTCAGAGCGGGCGCGACTCAGGCAGGCTGGCCTCAACAACAGGCTTGGGGGTGAGGGGATGCCGCAGCACTGGCCTGGGTCCCTCTGCTACTAACACCTGGCTGTCCTGCGAGCGCATTCACCTCCAATGCCTTTGTCTTGGCTAGCTTAACTCCCTTGCCGGTTCCCCAGGAGCAGAGAGAGCAGCAGCAGCTACCAGCTCATTGTCAGGTGCAAACCCAGAAGTCTCACGTCCTCTCTTACGAACCTGCATGCCCTGTCCTTGTGTCACTAGACATCTGACTCAGAGGCACTTAGTTGCACGCAGCTCCTCTCTCCCACAAGCGCTCACATCACCCCTGGAGGGATGGAGGAGGAGGCGTTTAAAGCCCCAATCCTGCATTGCCTCCTGCTGGACTCTCCTGGGAAGGCAATGCCCAAGCCAGAGCGGGCCTGCAGCCTTCAGGAACTCCAAGAACCCCCAGGGTGAGAAGCCTCACCAGAGCTAATAAATGGGCAGGCACCCTGCCCACAGGGCTACAAGGAGTAGGGTCCAGGATGGAGAGGGTCGACGAGGTGGATGGATAGGAATGCCAGACTGGCACCCAGGCAGGACTGGCTTTAAAAGGGCACTCTCGAGCCCTAGGCTCTGAGAGCACACATCTCCCCCACCCTACCCCCACCGAAATCTCCTCCTAGCCCATATGTCCCCGGTTAATTTCCATCCTGTGGGCACTTAAACCTTCTGCAAGGCGGAAGCTCAGCGCTGACAAGACCAAAGAAATAAACAAAACCCTTATGGAAAAACTGTTCCCGCTGTTCTCAGGAGCTTGGGAGAAAAAAGGGAGAGAAGAGAGAAAAAGGGAGAAGGGGGGTGGGGAGAGAGAGGGTGAGGGAGAGGGAGAGACAGAGCCAGAGAGAGAGAGAGAGAGAGAGAGAGAGAGAGAGAGAGAGAGAGAGAGAGAGAGAGAGAGAGAGAGAGAGAGAGAGAGAACGAGAACCTTCAGAGAGATTCCTTGTACAGACAATCGGAAAAACCAACTGCCATCCTGGGTGACTGCCTGCCTGGGATGAGCAAGGTCAGCGAGAATAATCATGAATACTCTTTGTGGGGTACACGAAATGCTCCCATACCGGGAGGCCAAACAATTTCCCACTGTGGCTGGCCCCAGAGCCGAAGCTTCCCTAACCCAGAGGACAGGAAGTCCAGTGCGGGGCACCTCAGTGTCCCAGGACAAAGCAACATCTCCTGCCCTGCCCTGCCTTGCTATGCTCTGCCCAGGGCAAACCCTGGTGCACTCGGACACACTGAGAGAATGCCATCTGAGGGGACAAGAGACAGCCCGGGAAGCAGCAGTCACATTTTTTTTTTCCGTTGGCAGGGGATACGAGGATATGGGCTTGACCCAAGTCCCAACCCTAAAAAGAAAAAAAGAAAAAAAAAGATCCTCCAGATCCCGAGGATTGGGGGAACAAGGGCGCAGGGTGCCAGAATAGAAAGGACTGGGGGCGGATGCCCTAGAATCTGTCCAGCCCCAGTTCCCTCCATGAAAAAACCATAACAATAGAACCCCCGACAACACTGGGCACCTTGGCTGTCTACTGATCTCTTCTCCTTTCCCTCTCTCTAGAGCTCCTGCCAACCCCAGGAGCAGCCACTCCCTACCCAATCCCCCAAACTTTTCCACCCCTAACTGCCGGGAATTAGGGCGAGCTCTCAGCTCTCCCTTCTACCCTTTCTTGCGGGGTGGGACAGAAGGTCCAGAGCAGGCAGAAGATGCTGACTGTGAATGGAGGGCTGTGGCAAGGGAGGTGGGTGATAACGATGGCGCGGAGGGTGATCGTGCCCACCCAACATCCCTCTCCCCAGGCCCCAGCCAGATTCTTTTTACCTGCACCAGCAGCTGCGGGGCACCGAGGGGCAGAGGCAGCCGGCACCGCGAGGGACGTGATAGGCGCTGCTGCGGCTCCCCACAGAGGTTAGGCGAGCCTGAAAAAATATGCTCCCGATTCCCCCACCCCCCAGGCTGTCCGGAGCTGGAGCCGACTGGCTGGGGGCAGGCTGGCCGGGCTGGCCACTGGGAGGACGTGCAGCCGCACCAACAGCAGTAGCCTGGGCATCTAGGGCGCGCAGGCTCCCGGTTCTCGGCTCCACTGAGACACCATGCCCAGGGCTGAGTGTGTTGGAGCCCACTGCTTTCGCGTGGAAGCAGCCTCTCTGCCTGGCTCCGCTGGCCCAGTCTCACTGGCTAAGCTGTTTTAAAGTGTTTCCTGTAAACCACTCTCCCGGCCCCCTCACGACTAGGGGCGGAGCGTGAGGAGAAGGCAGGCTGGCTGGCGAGCTGCCGACCAGGGGGAGTGAGACTGAGCAGTGAGATTGGCAGCCCAAAACATACCCAGTTGGGAAGCCCTGCCCCGTTCTCACACCTCCGTCTGCAGGCTCCTCCCTCAGAGAGGGAGTGTGTGAGTGAGGGAGTGTGTGAGTGAGTGTGTGAGTGTGTGTGACTGTGTGTGTGTGTGTGTGTGTGTGTGTGTGTGTGTGTGCGCGCGCGCGCGCGCATGCATGCGCCGGGGAGAAAGAAATGTCCTTGGGGGCTTGCAGAGCTAGCTGCTTGCAGTACGTTGCCTGCGTCGGCAAGCCCTTTAAGGGGAGCCCGGGACAGTCACTTTGTTCCCGAGAGAAAGCCAGAGCGCCAGAGTAGGTAGGGAGAGAGGATAGGAGCTCAAAGATTCGATGTTATATTTTTTTTCTTCCTTTATTCTTCTTTTTAGGTCACGTTGAACCGAGTTTTAGCAAACTCTGCCCGTCACACGGCCGCCTCTTCCCATTACCACCCGCCTCCCCAGCCTCATCTCCCGTAATTAGCTTACCAGTCCCAGCGGAGTCAGCCCCAGCGCCGGGAAGGGAGCCCGTGCTCCTCCCCTTACCAAAGCAGCTCCTGAAATTTCCGCTGTGCAAATCCCCGAGCTCTCGGTGACCCAGGCGCTCCCACCCGCTCCACTAGGCGGAGCCGAGTTTCCTTTCCAACCACTAAAGGAGGCATCATCGCCTCTTCTGCCCTGCTAGTCCGGGCAGGGCAGGCTAGACCAGAGTGCGGTGGGTGTGGGGGGAAATGACTTAGAGGTTGAGTAAGGAAGCCTGAAGGGATTCACGTTTTATGTGAAACGAAGTCAGCCTCCTTGAAAGGAAAGCCTCCCCGAAAGGAAAGCCTCCCCTTTGTTTTTGAATGTAGAAGGTCAGAGAACTCCCTCTAGCTCCCGGCTCCAACCTTGCGGCAACCAGTGGGGGCTGTCCTCCGAGACCATCCAGGGCTAAGCTCCCATTTTACATATTAGGAAATTGAGGCCCAAGGATATTAAGCAACTTACTTCACTTAGGTAATAATCAAGCAATCAATCAGTACACAAAGCATTTAGTAATTAATTGTCTATTAGGTGCTAGGTAATACTTTTAAGGAACCAAGCAAAAACAGCACCTACTAAGTGCCAGGCACTGTGCTAAAGCCCTGGAGATACAAAAAGATAAAGAGCTTAACAATCTAATGGTGGTGGTGGGAGACAACATACCAATTATATACGTATATGTATATGTATAGATTGTAAGGTATGTATTCTATACAATGGATGTATTATATATGATTTCTGTCTTATATAGATACACGTGTGTCATGTATAATGTGTATATAATTATATATACACACATATACATAAATACGTATCTATTAAACTATATACAGTATAAATAGGAAATAAAAGAGGAAAGGCACTGGGATTAAGAGGGGTTAGGGAAGGCTTCCTGTAGAACATGGAAATTTAGTTGGGACTTAAAGGAAGCCAGAGGGGTCAGTAGTTGGACAGGAGGAAGGAGAGCTTTCCAGGCGTGGGGGATAGCCAGAGAAAATGCCTCCAGTCAAGAAATTGTGTGTCTTGTTCATGGAACAGACTAGAGGTCATTGTCACTGGACTAAGGTGTAAGAAGACTGGAAAAGTAGGAGGACCTGGGTTTGGAAGGGCTTTGAATGGCAAACAGAGCATTTCGTGTTAGTTCCTGATTGAGTGGGGAGGTGACAGGATCAGACCTGAGTTTTAGGAAAAATCACTTTAGTGGCTAAATGATTTGGGATGGGGAGAGGCTTCTAGTAAGCAGACCCACCAGCATCTATTACAATAGTCCAAGGGTGAGGCGATGACCCTGGGGATGGGGTCAGAGGAGAGAAGGAGGCATATTGGAGAGATGGTACAGAGATTAAATTGACAATAGTTGGATATTGGTGGGTAGGCGTGTGTGGAAGTTAGTAAGGAGTCCAGGATAACTCCTAGCAGCAGGAGCCTGAAGAACTGGGAGGATGGTGTTGCCCTCTGCACTAATAAGGAAGGTAGGAGGGGGAGAGGCTTTGGGGGGAAGAGAGTGAATTCTGTTTTGATATGCTGAGTCTAAGATGTCTACTAGACCTCCAGTTTGAGATGTGTGAAAGGCAGTTGGAGATGGGAGATTGGAGTCAGCAGAGAGGTCAGGGCAGGATAGGCAGATTTGAGAAAGTAACACAGCCCTAGACCTAGAATAGCTGACCTTTTTAAATGGAAACTACAGGGGCATCACACAATGCATGAATGTCTTTTTGAAGAGTCTACTATGTGCCAGGCCTAAGAACCGGGGATTCAAAGAAAAAGCAAAAATGGGCTCTGTCTTCAAAGATCTTACATTCTAATGGGGGAGGGGTGGGGAATAGATAAGTATTAAGTTCCTACTATGTGCCAGACACTGTGCTAAGGGCTGGGGATACAAAGAGAGGTAAGGTTCTCATCTGAGAGGATGGGAGGCAGCATGGGAGGTTTGAAGAGATATGAAAAGGTTTGGAAGAGCCACTGTGGGGAGTGGGATAGTGAGTAAATTGTTGCGTCCAACTCTTTGTGACCCCATTTTGGGGATTTCTTGGCAAAGATATAGGAGTGGTTTGCCATGAGGAAACTGAGGCAAACAGGGCTAAGTAACTTGCCCAGGGTTACCCAGCAGGTCTGAGATCAGATTGGAACTCAGCAAAATGAGTCTCCCTGTCTCCAGGCCTGCCACTCTATGCACTATGGCTCCACCTAGCTGCCCTAGTAAGTAGATCAGGGAATGCCTTGTAATAATGAGACAGCAATATGTAACAATATGTAGTGGTTCCCCTAGTCAGCTCCGATCTGTGATTTTTCTCCATCTTCATTCAGCAGTGCTTGTGTGCAAAGGCAGTGGATGGTGGGAATGAGCCAAGGCTGAGGCTTTGCAGAGTGAGTACAGAGCAGATGAAACATAGCCCTGGAGGGGAAGGTACCAGCCACTGGAGGGGCCGGGAAGGGCTTCTTGTAGCAAGTGGCTCAGTCTTGAGGAAATCTTGTGTGCGAGAAACAGTAATAAGGCCAGTTGAATTGGATTGCAGGGTGGGTAAAGAAGAACATCATTTAAAGAAACTGGAAAGGCTAAAGGTTGCCGAGGGGTTTAAATATCAAACAGAAGTGTTCGTAACTGATCCTGGCAGTACTAGGGAACTACTGCATTTCGCTGAGGAAAGTGACATAGTCAGACATGGATTTTAGTATAATTATTCTGAAAACTGTTTAGAGGATAGATTGGCGTGAGGCATGAGGCGAGAAGACAAATTGGGAGGCTCTTGCAGTAGTCCAGATGAGAAGAGATGAGAGCTTGAACCAGGGTGTTGAAGAGAAGGGGAGAAAAATGCAAGGATTTCACTGAATCAGAGAATACAGAATTTGAATGATGGAATGAACCCCAGCAGCTTTCCACGCCAACCAACACATAAAATAACTTTCCACTATAATATTTCTGACAAGTGGTCACTGACCCTCTCCTTCAAGACCTGCAAGAAGAGGGAAGCGTCTCCTGATGGAGCTCATTCCACTCGTGGACAGCTCTGATTCTTCAGAGGTTCTTTGGGACAACAAGTGTAAAGCTAGACACTGCAGCTCCCACTCTAGAATCATTCCTGGTCCTACACTTTGGGGCCAAACAGAATTAAGTCCAAGCGATTCAAAATGAATGTTGTTCTCTATTTTAGAGTGAACTCTGCCAAGGAAAAAATAGCAATATGCTATACTGCTTTCTGATTTCACCATTATTCACAGTAGTTGAATCTTCAAAACTCCTATAGGGGAAATGGATCATTTCTGTTTGGTGGTACCAAGAAAGAAATGATGACTAAGGTGGTACAGAAATCATAATGATGAAGTCTGAGGTGTGAAAGCAGAGGCTCTGATGAGAACTCTGTGCAGACTAGGGGCAAAACTCTGTTACCCAGATGGTAGCCTTACATAGAGAGAGATTGATGGGTTTAAACTCCACATTTCAGATAAGCAATCTAGACCTGGAAAGGGCTCAGCACCTCATTTGATGAATGAAGAAACCAGCTCCTAAGGGGGTTAAGAGAAGTGTCCAGGGTCACAGACGGGATTGAAACCCAAGCCCTTGGCCTCCTCAGTCAGCTCTCTTTCTGCTATACCATATTGCCTCTTAGCTCAGAGGGTTGCCATCTCAATTCTGCCCATTACTACTACCTCTGGGACTTGGAGCAAATTAATTCACTCCCCTGGGACTCAGCTTCTTCATTTATCAAAAGAGGTGCAGTGGTTGACCTCAGAGATATCTTCTGGTTCTAAATCTAAGATTCTCCCCTCCCCCCTGTAAAGACTAACCAATAATGTTTTACATATGGTCACATGGTAAGACAGTTTATCGTTTTAACCAAGAAGAGCATCTATGGATATTTTATGCTATATCCCCAAAGGGAGAGAGAAAAGTCACATCATAGTTGCCTAGGCAACACCATTATTTTTGTTTTTCAAAGACATGGAGCCTATCATTGACATTTTCAGTCTAGGTGCAGTTATTAATGGGTCAACCCCTGGCCCTGGTCCAGATGCTGAAATGTTCCTGCCTTCAGAGGCAGGGTGAGGGGAGCAAACCGTAAACACTTTGGGGCATGAGAGCAGAACAAGAACTGGACTGGATTTTGAAAATCAGTCCCTGGGCATGTTTTTAAATATGGTGGATGGTGGGGGCAGCTAGGTGACAGCGCAGTGGACAGAGCACCAGCCGTGCAGTCAGGAGACCTGAGTTCAAATCCGTCTCAGACCAGACACTTGACACGTACTAGCTGTGTGACCCTGGGCAAGTCACTTAACCCCAATTGCCTCACCTAGATAGATAGATAGATAGATAGATAGATAGATAGATAGATAGATAGATAGATAGACAGATAGATAGACAGATGATAGATATAGATATATATGTGTGGTGGATGGCAAAATACTTCCCAAAAAATTCCCAGGGACCT